AGCAGAGGGAAATTTACAAAGTTCTGCATTTACACATTTAATTGCATTTGCACAACATGCTGGACTTTTAAAATCTAACTTTTTGAACCTTGGGTCTAGTAATGTGGAAACACTATATACTAACTTCGTCTCAGTGGATTTAAAACGGAAATCAAGATTACTAAAACATTTTTCCAGCAACTTCTTTCCCACATTTGTTTCTGTAGAAACCTTGCAAAGTGCATTAAACATTAACCGTAAAAATGGGATAATTTTACTGATGGTAGTGTGAGTTTCTGCTGAAATTTCATTAGTCACTTTATTAAAAGGTTTTAGTACTTTAAGCGCATCATTCAAAGCACTTAATTCTCTAACAGAGAGCATGTCGGTTGCCCCTGGAAACTTTTGCAATGTTAGTGTAACAAAATTTTTTAATAGTACAAATCTCTCAATCATCAAGAAATACGAATTCCATCGAGTTTCAACATGCTAAATTAATTTTAATGTCACAGAACCTTTTTTATTCTGCGATGAGTCGGAGTAAACAGACTAACATGGCAGAGTTGAGGATGAGTTTCAATGAGTGTGAGTTCGTTCACTGTTAAAATAGTGTAAATTTGTAAACATATTTGCAAGAAGTTTGTTTCATCGCAATTTCTACGAAATTCCCGGACTGTCCGAGTGAAAACCGAACAGGTGGTAACATTAGAAACAAAGAATGAACTGCATGCATCGATGAATCAAAATTCACATATTGCTAACATCGATTCAGGATCGATGTTTCAAAAACATCGGAAGTTCGATGCATCGACGAACAAAAACATCGATACATCGATGTCACATCGATGCATCGCACAGCACTACTTGCCTTATTATATGCCTTGCTCCGCACGTTTACAACATCCCGTGATTCAGTAAACGTCGCGCATTGACTCACGGGAAATTTGTTGAAAAAATGGCGGATACATTTAAAATCGAGGTTTACAAGCGAAGATAAATGGTAAGATTTACCCTACGAATGAGCGGGTTGCCACCCCCAAGGGGTATTCTCCGTGCGAACAATGTCTAATGAACCAACCCCCTACGCGCGACCCTTCGCGAGATATAAGTCCCTGAAAATTCGCCTACGAATTTTCAGGTATCCAGTCACGTGACATCGTGGTCAAAAGGCAGTCTACCGCGCGACAAAAAAATTTTAACGCGCACCTTCCTTAGGTCTCTCTCCTCACGCTGCTTTCGTCGTCGCCGCCGTCTGTCCCTTCTACACCGGCCCGCTTGAAGTCATCAGTAGTCGCCATCTATTGCCTGTAAAGACAACTATATATTATTATTTATTAGTTTTAACTTGGCCGGCCCGCGAAGCTGAGTCTACGTTTAGCTGTAGGCCAAGCCTCTCTACTAGTCCAGCACGTCCTCTTGCTATAAACATTTCCGAACTCATATTTGAGACTAACGAGCTCAAAGACAGCACTGCGCATGACAGCCAAATCGCGCGGTCTTTCCTCAGCCATAGAGATGCAGCGCACTCCGCAGGCCACGTGACACTAGGACCCATCTGCCGAGGCTCCGCGGGCCAATGGGGTTGCGACCGCGGGTCACGTGACACTCGTAACCGTTTCCCGCGGTTCGCCTTCATATCCTCGAACCCAGTACTGTAGATGTTATGGAAACGAAAGGAAAGTTATGCCGTTTACGTGTGATATTTCGGCGTCTCAAGTTATGGATCCCGCCACAATATTCGATAATATAACATCATATAGCTTTCTTCGCTACTTCTCCACCGAAGAGGCCGCACAGAAATTTTGCCATTTCGTGCCACATCCGGACCTAACCGGTTTCTTTCCGCCATGTCCTAAGTGCGGAGGTAAGCCTTTTCTCGATTCCCGCGTTTACACGACTGCTATCTGCAGCTATCTGGGTTAATGTTACTAATGGTTCGAAAATGACGTCGCTTCGGTTAAGTTCGTTTCGTTTTCGTTACATTAGCTACATTTTTATCCGTCTGGACCACGAACAGTCGGAAGTACGGCCATTTTGAAACCGTGGATAACATTAACCGCTATCCTGTTTCGATATTTGACCACGCGAGTGGATAGTAGTAGTATTGGTAAACATTAACTGCCAATATTCCAATTTACTAGTTTTCGATATTTTTGTCGTAATTTTTAGGCACTATGCGGAAGGAACCGGCTCCATCTGACAGGTTCGGATTCGTCTACCGCTGTGAAAAAGTCCAGCAGAAAAAGATGAGGAGGCGGGCTAGCGGCACCATCTTGAGGGCCATGTGCACTGGTTCCGTCTTGCACTCACAACACCTTTTTCGAAAGGATACAGCTTTCAGCCCAAGAGGTATGACATTTGAAGTCGCTCGCGAAACATGATCGCAGAATCGGCGGTTTCTTTTTCTCTGGGTCACGTTACGCTATGCCTTTGTGTAATTTGATCGTATGGCTTGAGATGATGTGTTTTGTTTCTATTTTACAGGTGTTAATGCTTGTGTTAATGCGTGGGTCAAGCAGGAGCCGGTCACCGTCGACGCGGAGGAATGCGGCGTGGCCCCCAAAACAGCGGTGGATTGGTACAATTACTGCCGTGAAGTTGCGGAGGTTTTCGTCTCCTACCAGCAAGACATCTAGAAGGGAGGCACGTCGAGGTGATTATCGACCCACGTTTCTGACTTTGCCTAAATGTCTGTCTCTATATTCGTATGTTTTATTTTCAGATCGACGAGACCTTCACCCGGAGGCAAAAATACCACCGCGGCCGCGTAACTAAAGGCACCCAAATCACCATCTTCGGTGTCTTTTGTCGGGAAACACGGGAGGTGATGTACTGACATGTAAGTAGTAGCCAAACATTATTATTTCCTTTTATCTTTTAGTTTTAGTGGAAGCCGACTGCGAGCGAAACCGATCGTGTCGGCGAATGAGGGGCCGTAGGCCCCGAGGTCGAGGAGGAGCGCGGGGGGCGTGCTAAAGGACTTAACTCGGAAATAATTAGACTGCAGTAACATTAGAATAGTTCGATAGGCTTAGCGGTGCTTAGTACAGTAGCCGACTGGGCGAGCGAAACCCAGCGTGTCGGCGAATGAGGTGCCCTAAGCCTCCTGAGGTCGAGGAGGAGCGCGGGGTCGTGCGAAAAGGACCTAACTCCGATAATTAGACTCAAGGTCTTAGATTATAAGGTTGCCTCATAGAGAAGAAACGGTTCTCATTGGTTGCTTATTTGACGTCACTCATAGTCTAAAACGAAACATCTTACTATGTCCTTATGGTAAAAACATTACTGATCAGAGGCTCGTAGCTTTAATTACACGCTAATATTTTACTAATTACGGTTCTTACTTAATTAATTAAAAATAAAAATTGATTATAAATAAGAAAAATCTGGAATATTGAGAAAATCTTCGTAAATGTTAAATGTAAAGTTGAAATTAAACTGCGTTTTTCTACTTAGATAAAATAGATTTCATTTACAATTTTATGATATTATAACAACAATAGTTTCTTAAAAAGATTAATTTTGGTAAATTCTACGTATGTGATTTATATATAAGTAAATAAATTTAATTTCTATCGTCAAACTACTTTTTTTGAACTAAAAATAATATTGGTCTATTTTTTAATTTTTAATACTCGTGTACCGAAAACGATATTATTGATATCAATATATACAAATTAAGTTCCAAAAGAACAATTAGTTATGTTATAAACATATTTTTGATATCAATATATACCAGGGCTGTGGAGTCGCGTAAAAATCTACCGACTCCGATTCCGACTTTTCTTTATCATCCGACTCCACAGCCCTGATATATACAAATTAAATGCTATATAAAAACAATTAAATCAGGTACAAACTTTTTTTAATTTTCTATTGTTATTACAATTTACTTTTCTTTTCACAGCTAAACGATCATGTTTAATTAAATTGTTCAAAATTTCAATCTAATCCACACACGTTGCTTTACGTATGTGTATATAATGTCTTCTGGCAAGTTAATTGTCTGTTTAATTAAATTAATGATGTACAGGGTTCCTAAGCACCTGGAAAGTCAGGGAAAATCAGGGATTTTCATTAGTGTTCGGAAAAATTCAGGGAATTTGTCTCCTTAACTGCGTTGTTGATCTCGTTTGCTGAATACAGATGACCAATCATAGCCATACGCAGGTGGCAAGAAATAATGCTGCAATCTTTAATAAGAAAATACACCAGAATCCATTTTGAAATGGTTTTTTTTCACCGTTCTGAAGCCATATAATTTTACAGTTGTGGATTAATAACATAAAAGTTATTTTTTAAATAGCATCTCGTAACAGATGGTGCCACATACAATTTTAATAACAGGATAAACTACTTTTATGTAATAGTGTTTAATTTTTAATTTTAATAATTCAGCGATTATAAAAAGATGAAATTGTTTATTAGAATAAAAAATAACTAACTAAAAATTTGTTTGCAAACTTTTAAAAGTTGAAATCGTAATTTATTAGAATGTTTATTTCAAAATAGCTAAATAGATCAGTAAAAATCTGTAATTTATTTTGGTACTTTGAAACCGTGCTAGTAGTTATTAGTAGTAATTCAAACACAAATTATTATTGTATTTATTTTCAGGCCCTTTGCAATTTTTATCATCAAATTTTATGTAATTTAATCGTTTTTCACGTTTAAAACATTACTACACAACATAAAAAATTATAAATAGTTACCCGACGTTTACAGTAAAATACTGGCGCTGACTTGTTGTTGGCACTAGCTTTTTATATTTGTTGTTATGATCTTCCTTGAAAGTACTGTACTGCATGCATATTTTCCCCCTCTCTTCCGTTTTTTTCCGCAACTTCGATACATAGTTTAATAATTAGTTTAAATGAAATGACATTGGGTAACAAATATCACTGATTTTGGCAAATATAGGGCTTAAAACTGGCAAGATTGATCATACTTGTAATAAATATTCTGTAGTTATATTTTCGAAAATCAACAGGTAATCCGGTAGTTTAACCAATGTTAACTTGCTTGTAATTAAAATTTTAAAATTAAAAAGCTGTAAATTAAAAAAAAAATAATTACATTACTAAAAAATTAAAATAAATTTGATTATCTTTTGTGCGAAACAACAACAAAACAATTTTTATAGTTATGTTGCAAAAGAAAGAGATTTGTAGTTACGATTCTCTGCGCTGAACTTCTATATTTTAATAACGTATGATTGCAATCTCGTTTGATGTTTATTTCTGTATTTATTTTATTTTATAAGTTTTAAGAATTCCAATTTTCGTAATACTATGACGTCATAGGAATACAAGTGTTAGGTTCCGGAATTGTCCGGAACTAAAATAGAAAAACGTAAAATAATTTAATTATTAGAGAAAAAAAAGGAATGAACAGAAATTTTTTATAGAAACTTGAGGAATAATCTAGACCAGGGGTCGCCAAACTTTTTTGATCGTCGACCCCCTACAACTTTTCAAAACCTCACATCGACCCCCACCAAAAAGTTTGTGTTACAAGCAAAAAAAAAAGCTCTTACTATTTTAATATATAGGCTATCTTTTAATTTTACATTTTTTACATTTATTATACATATGTTAATAATAATTTTTGTAACTGATAATCAATGATATGGCCAATGTTTTCAGCCAAGCTTGAGACAACCAATGTTTTCAGCCAAGCTTGATAATCTTTTGCAAGATTATCAAGCTTGGCTGAAAAAACTGGTTCGTTTAATTAAAATTTGCTATAAAAGTGAGAAAGATGGTTTGTGATATGATTGGCAATAATTATAAGAATTGTAATTAAGGGTTAAAATAAATAAATTTTGTCTGCATTAAGAAAATTTTATGCAAAGACGAAATTTAATGCAAAATTAAGTAAATAATAAATAAAAATTATTAAAAATAATTGTTAAAACTCTGGTCTTTACATCGAAACCGAAATCAAAATGGCGGCAACGAAACTTTTTTTTTTCTTTTAATGAGTTGCCAATTCAGCTATTTTTTATAGATTTAGTAGATTTATGAACAATCTAGCTTAAAAAATCAAACAATTCTAATGGAAACAATATGATTTGGTTATTTTTATTAAAATGTCTAGCTGTAAATTTGAATTTTGAGTTGGCAACACTACTTTTAATTAATGTATATCAGTTGCTGATTGGATATCGTTTGAATATTTTACGTACTGTTGTGACAAAACGTCTTACGCATTGCTATCTGATCTGGTTCATCTGTCTTTTAATATTATTATTCAAGGTTTGTGTTTTTCTACATTCTTAAATTATAATGGCACGGAAACAAACGAGGTTTAATCTCCAATGGCTGGATCCAGCTATTCATCCAGAATTCAATTCCTGGTTAGGAACTGTAAAAGATGATGATACAAAAGCATTTTGCTGCATTTGTTGTAAAGTTTTCTCATTAAGTAATATGGGAAAGCGTGCATTAGTATCACATGCAAATAGTTCTAGTCATGTTGAAATAAAAAGATTGAAGTCGGAACAAACTTCACTGATAAGGTTTTTAACCCCAACAAATTCAAACTCTTCTGATAGTCAACAAAATGTGTGTGAAACGGCTTCTGTTGTGGAAGATAGATCTAAGATCACTAACAAACAGTCTCTCACCAAATCAACATTTCTTAGCAGCACATTGACACCTTTTGTGATAAAAGATGATGTAATAAAAGCAGAGATAACTTGGGCATTGGCAGTTGTAAAGAAAAAGATGTCACTCAATTCATGCTCTGATATTAAAAACATTTTCAAAAAAATGTTTCCTGACAGTGCTATAGCCATGTAATTTCAATTGGGTCCAGATAAAGCTTCCTATATAATAAATTATGGCCTAGCCCATTATTTCAGAAAAATTGATTAATGCTGTTACAAGTTGCGATAATATTACTATCTCCTTTGACGAATCACTAAACAAAGTTGCTCAAAGAACTCAAATGGATCTTGTGATAAAATACTGGGATGAGAGTAAAGATAAGGTTATGACCAGATATTTAAATAGTGTCTCTCTGGATCATAGTACAGCAGATGATCTTTTCTCTGCATTTCTCAATGGGCTTTCAGACATTCATCTTGATCTAGCAAAAATTCTTCATATCTGTATGGACGGACCAAATGTAAACATAAGTTTTCTGAATGAACTAGAAGATCACATGGAGACACAATGTTGGTAAATCATTTGTGAGAATGGGAACACGTGGTTTACATGTAGTCCATGGTGCTGTAAAAGCTGGTTTTAAAGTAGTAGATTGGAATTTGTTACCACTGCTACGGAATTTGTTCTACTTGTTAAAAGACTCACCCACTCGGCGTGCCGAATACATTGCTATAAGTGGAAGCAGATTATTTCCCAAAAAGTTTGGTTCAACAAGGTAGTTGGAGAATGGTGAGTGCTTAGAACGTGCAGCAGAAGTTGTTGAATCTGTGAAGACATTCATAAACAACAGTACAAAGTTGAAAGACAGCAAGATGGCTACATTCTTGAGACAGGCACTCAATGATCCTTTTATTAAAATTAAACTTTTATTTTTTCGATCTATATGTACACAAAGTGAGAGCTTTCTCACCCGATTTCAGAGCAACAAACTTCTTGCACCCTATCTTTATAAAGCAGTTACTCAATTATTAATGAACCTGATGAGAAAGTTTGTGAAAAATGACAGGGTCATTGACAAGCAGTTTCTAAAAATAGATTTAAATGCTAATGAAAACTTGGTACCTCTGAAGAATTTGGATATTGGTTTTGGAGCAAAAAAGGTTTTAAAAGAATTGAAAGTGAGTGACAAAGATATTCTGTGTTTTCTAAGTGATTGTCGAAATGTGCTGAAAGTGATGACACAAAAGATTATTGAGAAAGGACCTGTCAAGTACAAATGTGTGAAAGCTTTGAGTAGCTTAGACCCAGAAATTATTAAAATGCAATCAAATGTTAGAAAATTGTATTTCAATGTTTTACTGGAAGTTCTACATGATTGATGAGAAATGTGCTGTCAAAGCAAAAGAACAGTATGATATACTCTGCAGTAAAGTGTCCATAAAACCCTATTCTACAAAGTTTGAGGACTTCATATCTGAAAGGAGTGATGATGATGGTCTGGACACATTTTATTGTGAAATTTTGAAGGATGATAGGCAACTGCAAGATCTATGGTCTATTATCAAAATTTCTCTTTCTTTCTCACATGGGAATGCAAATGTTGAGAGTTGTTTCTCGGTTAACAAATCACTGTTGAGTGAAAATCTTAAGGAAGAAAGTTTAGTTGCTCAACTCTTAGTTTATGATGGGATCCATTTTGCAGGTAGTATTGATCAAATAAATATAGACCAGAAAATGTTAACAGTCAGAGGATCAAGACAGCGATATATTGCAT